TCGTTTCCTGTCATCTTGGCTGGCCTGTGAACTAGCCGGAAGCATGGATTAGCTTGTGTGTATCTATGTAATGTAAATTAATGCATGCTTTAAAGTAACTATTGCGAGAGTTTTCTAGTGTTTTCACCACTTTCATGACACCGACCGTTATTGCTTGAGTAACAGCAATTGTCTAGAGTAACAATAAAATGTCTTAGAACCTTCGGATTCACCAAAAAAGTGCCAGTTTCGAACTACTTGTTTTTGTAAGGGAAACACTTTCCGCCGGGCGTAAATGGACGGTCACGTGATGTGGCTGCACTTGTGTTAGGATTAGGGTTAGGGTTAGGGTTAGGGTTAGAGTTAGGATTAGGGCTAGGGTTAGGAAAATAAGCATAGAAGCATGTCTAGCACGGAAGCATGACTGTGGAATCTTTCTGTGGAAGATTTGGACTTTGAAGCATCTAGTATGATCTACACCATCGACGCCATCTTGTCCATCTACGCCCGGGGGAAAGTGACACCCTTTTTGTAAACAATCGTTTCCTGTCATCTTGGCTGGCCTGTGAACTAGCCGGAAGCATGGATTAGCTTGTGGCGCCACCGCTTATCTGCCGTAGACATAGTACAGGCTCTCTCAAAGCCAAACTGCATGTAGTGCCCCTTCCCACACTCAGGATAATTGAATTGAATTGAATTGAATCAGTAGAATTGAGCCAGAGCGAGAGCGCCATCTGTCGTGGAGTTTGTCTCAAAGCATGCACTTGTTTTCAATTCATTACCGACACAAATACAAGTTTACCAATGCTGCCATTAGGCATTATCGGCATACAATAAAATTTATTGCTGTTACGATGTGGTGAAATCCATTTTTCTATGCTATAACTGCATAAAATCTTAGTATTTTTAATGTTGGTGTAATCAGTGATATTTCCGCTGTCAGGTGAGACTATATTTAGCTATATTTGGTTTTTCTGAGCAAAAATCTCGCAATAGTTAGTTTAAGTTAACCGCCACATAAAACATTGAAATTTTCATAGAAAATGACACGACTTTGAATAGTTAGTCACGAAATTGGTACTAAGAACGGAATGGACTTGCATGGAAATGGCCCCGAAAGCATGGAAATGGTTTCAAAAATTGCTACGCACACTGTTATCGTGCCTTAGGCACGAATTGAAATATTTCCTCCAAAAACATCTCAACCTGTTCTCATGCCTGCAGGTGTCATTTTAACGCCAAAGGTCGAACGCACGGCGATGTAGCGCGAGAGAAGGCGTGAAAGATCGTCGAATCTTGATGGACTTGCGAAAACCTACTTAAAGCCGATTACACCTTACCGTCATGTCTGCTATTATTTCACTTTATTTCGCAGTAAGATCAATATTTCTCCCAATAAGGTTATGAACGAACATGATCGCTCGTGAGATTGTAAAAGAGTGAATATAACGCAGCAAAAGATGACAAAAAGACACGCTTAAATAAATGTAACGACACAGCGATCATGCATTATCAGACGATGACGCCGTATGTATATTGACGTTTCTAGACACACACGACGGTTTCTTCCGAGGTGCAGCTAATCAAATAAAACCCCATTCTATATATGATGCCCATCTCCCTATTTAAACGGCCTAGCTTTTATTTGATGAGAATAATTTTATAAGTATATTTTATCGCCGGTCAATAATCGATAAACGGCCTTTACGCCCTATATCATCGACATACTGCAACCGAAAAAGCTGAGAGTTATGGCGCTCTACAGGCTGGCGCCCCGCCGATTGCACCGAGTAGACGTTTGAATAGGTATATATATATATATATGTATATATATATAAAGTATAGTGCATATGCGCTTTTGGTTGCTTTTAGTTTAAAAATCGACGTTATTTCTATCAGCACATCATGCCGATTAACTTTGAGTAATAGATCTCCCCGCAATATTCATTATGTTTGGCGGCAACATCAGAGGAAACTTCCCCGCACTGCAGCAGACGTAAATGTTTTGAAATGTCCGCAGTAGTTTAATTTCGTAATGGCGGTCGCGTGATATCAACGGAGATGTCTGATAAAGCATAACGATTCCGTCGCTGAAGTTTCCACGTGTTTGACATGAATCGTTACCCGTGATAGAGACCAAACGGATAGTTTAATCCGATGATTGATCACTCGTTGTCACGTAGCGCATTTGGAAATTATTCGTTATAATATATGGATGCGCGTGGACGAAATCCTGCTGGAATGAGCTTCATATGATTCTATAATATTCACCATTTATTCAAGGTGGTCTTTTTTCTCGTGTGATGAAATGAGAAGCCCAGTAATGTCTCTGTCGGCGGCGCTGTTTGCTATAGCACGCGAGAGAACTCGCTTATTCTGAATGCCTCGCCATAAAAGAACACTGTAGCCAGGATTCAAACTTGAATGTTCAGTCCGTAGGTCAAATATCGAGAGTGTTCACAGACTTGCTGCGGGTTATTTGGCAGTGCATGGCCCGTTAGACTCTATAGAGGATGCCCATTGAATTTTTTTTTACCAAAGACAGCACCGCAGATATAAAAGGTTGCATCTATAAACTGAGTAATGAATTTTAGATATTATTGCCGCCGATCGACTTCACGTGGTCTCTACTAAGCTATTCCGAGCTATTCCGTCGACTGTTTGTAATTATCTGTCGGTACATTTGTAGCATTTGAAGTATTTGCGGGTAGACATGTTCTAACGCTCCAATCGTTCCCAATTAAACTGATGACATCGTGACTGTAATCTCGTAAAGAAACATGATGTTGACAGGAGCTCATTCCAGAGACACTCCCATGGACGACGTTTTTCTGAACTGCTGATACTTGATATTCCGTGAGTTCTTTTTTACGTTAATGTATAACTGCAGTGGTATCTTACAGCTATACGAGCACATTTTGCGCCATTTTTTCGTTGTTGAATTGCCGCCAAATTGCAAAGTAGGACAAAAATAGTTGTATATGCACTCACTGTAGAAATTTTTATCCGCACACTTCACGGCTGCCATATACTTTGAGTCAGCACTGATCCGTGCACACGTGCTAGCAATTCCCTTCCCTCACGCCAATATGGAAAAAACGACGTTTTTTCGCTGGTTGCGTTGAGATTGTCACTCAAAAGCTAAACGATGTTGTCGTGTTGAAGCTATTTTGAAGATGTAAAAAATATGAGAATCCGCGATGTAACGGAGCTCTGTGTATACGCGTCCCTCTGTCGTCGTCGTCGTCGTCGTCGTCGTCTTATATATAAGCAAACGATGCTTCATTAGTCCCAAGAAGCAAAAATTAATGTTTAACGATATGAGCTTAGGAGAGATTGTGATATAATGTAAATATAAAAAGAGATATAAATATTATAATATTAGTAGGATATAAAAATATAAGTTTGTATGAAAGCAAGAGAGAGAGCGCGCGCGAGACGAATAGGGGGAAAGCGAGAGAGAGCGAGAGAGAAAGAGAGAGAAAGAAAGAGAGAGAAAGAGAGAGGAAGGAAGAGAAAGGGTGGGCATACTATGAAATATCGAGCAGTAAGTGCACTGGATGCCAGGCACTGCTAGCATCAGAGAGCTCGATCGACAAAGCACGATCTACAGCAAGCACTAGAGCAGGTTGATACACGGACACGGCACGCGATCATATATCTATAGATTATTATAACGTATAGTATACTATAACGTTATATATATACTGTAGATTATTATAACGTATAGCATACTATAACGTTATAGATACACTATAAATTATTAACAAAGATTGTGAACAATCGTTCATGATCTTTGTTATTATAACGTTCGGTTATAATATCTGCAGGTGACGACGTCTGTGTTCTCGCGTGTATATCGTTAGGTTAGCTGTCGGTGGGTGAATGTATTTCCATGCGTTGACGAGCTCGCTGCGCTGTTTTGCTGTTTAAAACGGCATGTTCTCTCTGCAAAATGCATAGATATACCTTCTGTGAGCTCGTCCATATTGTAAAAATTCACTACAACTTATTTGTATTGCTACTTTCACAACATTTCTTCATAAGATCTAAACGAAAGTACTCCTCTTACGAAAGTAGCACCACAGTATGCGTACACAGTGTGTACACATCCGGTACACAGCCGAGCGAACGTTGTGTTGTTTATGATAACACATGTTATAATTTATTGTTCGATGTTTACTTAGTACGAAATTGTGAAATTTGTTTAAATAATATGTTATCTACATTACAATTATACAATCAGGAAACAAATATAGAGTTTACGTTCGAGGAACTATTTGCGCTAGCGTAGGCGTACTGTTGGCGTGCTCAGTCTCTTCACTCCAAAGCAACTTATGTGTTTCTGTACGCCGAAACTCTGTCCGATAGAGTTTTTAACTTCGGAGCACATTTCTGGCTCAATAAGAACATTTCGCACATGCGATCGTGTGGGCGTGCGTGTGTACGTACCTGCATGCGTGCATGCACGTGTCCGTACGTGCGCGGGGTTTTTAAAATGGAACAAAAGATTTTAATCTAGCCGTAAAGCATAATCAGCGTAATGAGTGTTAATGAGTGTCATCTTACTCACTCCGTGTTTCCTCTATATTAGCCACTCTCATTAAAATGGATCAACTTCGCAACAAAAAGTCTACATACACCTACTGTGAGCATATCCTATCCTATCTATCCTATCCTATCCTATCCTATCCTATCCTATCCTATCCTATCCTATCCTATCCTATCTATCCTATCTATCCTATCCTATCTATCCTATCTATCTTATCCTATCTATCCTATCTATCCTATCTATTTATCCTATCTATCTTATCCTATCCTATCTATCTATCCTATCTATCCTATCTATCTATCTTATCTATTTATCTATCTATATAATAATAATCTATCTATCTATCTATCTATCTTATCTATCTTATCTATCTTATCCTATCAATCCTATCTATCCTATCTATCTTATCCTATCTATCTATCCTATCTATCCTATCTATCTATCTTATCTATTTATCTATAAGCGGGCTTCAGAAATCCGGGGCCGGTTTCCACTGAAGCGTACCTTAACTATAAGTATGATTAAATCACTAATCATACTAACTTCCGCGTAATTATGATTAGTTAATCATACTTAAAAATCTGTTCACGAAGCGATTTAAGTACATATTTAACTAATCACATAATTAACCGACTTCAACCATGAAAATAGACTGGTACTCGCTCCCCTCTCGGCTTAGTTACGCGATGGGAATCGAGTAATGCGAGGTGGGAGCGAGTACCAGTCTAAAAACAAATTACACGTAATTCAATATGGCGGACCAATACCCAAAATATCTGCAAGTTCGGTACATGAAAAGGAATTAATTTGTAAGCTAATAATGACTGTAAAGTAAGTACAGCAAATCTAGAATAACTTAAATTTCCTTGGGAAAAAAATTGAAGTAAAATTTCCAATTGTAAAATCTGCAGCGTACTTAATATACTAGTACTATCTACTTCTAAATTCGAGTACTTAGCAACATTAATGATTAGTGGATTTATCATGCTCCTGAGTAGAATTAAATAATTGTGGCTTAACTTAATCATGATTATAAGTTAATTACGCTTCGTGAAACAGTCACACTCAATTTAAGTACGAAAAGTTAATCATGATTAGTGATTTAATCACAATTCAATACTTAAGTACGCTTCGTGAAAACGCCCCCGGTATTTAGCGTCACACGAGGAAATGCGCGTCCAAGAAATCCGGTATTTCTCAGCACGGCAAATTAATTCGGGGTCTGGAAGCCTCGTATTTACATGAAATACGCGGATCGTTTAGAATACCGTATTCTTGGGCCTCGTATTTTGCCTCGTGTAATCGCTAAATACCGGATTTCTTGGCTACATGTGAACGCGGCTATAGAAACAAACGTGCAGACTCGCCTGTACGAATTTCCGGAGTTCTTCCGTTATAAATGCTACTCTAATTATTATTTGGCATTCGTCGGGCGAACGGCCGATATCGGAAAGCTTTAAACATTTCTACAGTTACGTTATTGAGTTTTAACAAACGCGTGAATTTTGTTTTTGTTAAATATACCGGATATCTCGTCAGTGAGTAGCAAAGTTCGTTGTCATTAAATGTGACTCGAGTCACATTTCTCACCAGGCGTCGAAGTTTGGCATTTGCAACGAACCACGGAACCTCCGTGGCACGGGACGCGGGAAAACACAGTGCAAAATAAACTGCTTGATAACAATCAAATGGGCAGATATACTGTGTGTGTATGTGTGTGTGTGTGTGTGGTGTGTGTGTGTGTGTGTGTGTGTGTGTGTGGTGTGTGTGTGTGTGCGTGCGTGCGTGCGTGTGTGTGCGCGCGTGCGTGTCTG